ATGAGTAGCCTATATTGGTCATTCAATATTTAACTAAGCACACAAATTGTGAAACTACCTATTATAAGAATTAAATTAAATTAATAAACAATATCAATGATATAAATTATATACAGGTAGCTACACAGCTATTTTTTTTTTTTACATTAACTGCATAATATTATAATTTACATTTAATAATGTATATTTATTAACTTATACACTATTCTGTAGTGTGATTTAAATTAATTTACTCAAACATATATTACAATAATAAAATACCATTAAACTCACCATTAATACTTAATACTATATTATGATGTTATTATACTGGGTTTTATAATAAATATACAATACATTTAATAAGTAACATGCAATTGTTTATTAATGCAATAATAATATATTTATGTAAATACCTATATGCCTATATATCTTAATTATATAGCTCCATTATTTATTATATATGTTTAATAATACGCAGAACAATATACAATATATACCTACAATAGTCTTTTTTTTTTTCAATTTATAAAAATCTAACATACATAATATTATAATTATATACAAACATTTCATTTTTACAATGTACATTATTTTTGGCATTCACTTATTAGTAAAGCGTTAGATGTGTATTAGTTGATCGGTATAATTTGTTGTAATTTCGACACTAGAATGTTTAGTGTTATGTACATCATGGTCATATGTCTAGAGGGGGGGGGCTTGGGTGTATTATATATTGGGTACCTATATATATATAATAATATGTATTATCAATTTATTTTCAATTATTTATTTATGCCTATTAAAATTAATTAATTTTGTGTAATAACTTTTGTTTTTGAATACAAATTGAATTACATTTATTATAATGTCTATCCAACTGTAAATGTGTAGGTTATATTATATCTCGTTGTTATATAGAACTGGCAATTAGTTGTAACATTCGTCTTTCTTGGTTACATCGACACTAACTTTTTTACATTTAATTAAATATATTATTTCGGCGTGTTTGACGGCCGTGTAACCTGGACCATCACCCATAATATACACAATGCTGTAATAATTGCCATTCAAGCACACATTGTTTTTGTAGTAAATCATTGTATAATGCGGATATTGTTGATTTGAAAAAAAATTTTCTACATAAACAAATTTTGTGAGTAGTATGATTTGGGGGGTTCAGAAGCCCCCGCACCCATCCCCTCACCCTCACCCCCTGATCCTTGCTGATCCTTGCTATCACCGCCGCCCGATCGCGCACGTGCGCGACGTATATTTTACCCCACCCCGTCCTTGCTCATCTTTGCTCGTCATCGTATAGCGCATGCGTACAACATAGAGTTATCAGTCTCTTATCTAACAGTCATATGATACTATATTATTGTCACCACAGATATATAAAGTAACTAGATAGCCGACTCGAGAACTCCTCAGTGAATGGTTGTGATTCCTATCCACCATATTGCAAGAGTGCAAACAAAACTCAGCTGATATGATAAGAGTCGTGATAACGTTCATAGTCTACGAAAAACGAAATAACAAATTCGAAAATCTTGTGAAGTTGTGACTATAACAATTTTTATAGTCACTTGTGAGCAAAATTATTATTTACTATAAATTATAATCATACAAAAATGGTCGTGTATTGCTGTGTTGATGGATGCTTTAATCGACGAGAGGCTGGTAGCAAAATTCATTTTTTTTCGTAAGTAAATAGCACAAACTTTATGTGAAATTGATTATTTCATTTTGTTTTATATTGTGACATTGCATTACATTAGATTTACATTACATTAAAATGGATTAGATTCATGGATCACCCTACCTTATTTTAAGCTTATTAGCTTAATTTCCAAAATAAATTTTTGTTATTTGATAGATTTCCATTGAAGAATGAATTGCGAACAACAGAATGGATGAAAGCAATCAACCGCAAAGGTTTTAAACCATCAGCATCAAGTAGGATATGCAGTGATCATTTTACGTTAAATGATTTTTAAAATTCTCCAGGTGGAAGCTATCGCCTTTATTTGACAGACAAATCATGTCTTACCATATTTCCTATAACATTTGATGAATCGCATAAGAAAAAAAATAAACCAACTTTTACAGAAGAATCTACATGTTCTCATAATGTTGATTGTATCTTAGGTATAGAAGTATCTGAAAATGCTCCAGTACATGATAATGAAATTACTATTTCACGGGATAACTTGCTTATTACTCCATCAAATGGATGATTTGATGACCGGTGCAGACACCATAGAAGAGTGCGCCAAACTTCAAAGGGAAATCAACTCCATCATGGACTCTGGGAAATTACCATTAAGGAAGTGGTGCTCAAATTCTCTATCCATTATGAATCTAATAGTAAAAAGTGAGCACGACCCCTTATTCTCATTAGAAATTGGAGATCAAGACACAGTGATATCATTAGGACTAGAATGGAAACCATTAGTAGACCAATTCTTCTTCACTATATCAACCGTTACAAGGAAGAAGAGGCTAACCAAGAGAATGATACTTTCAGATTTGAATAGGATTTTCGATCCACTTGGCCTATTAACACCAGTGCTTGTAAAAGGTAAAATATTTCTCCAGCAGATGTGGGCAACAAAGATGGGCTGGGACACCCAACTCTTAGATGAGATGCAAAATAAATGGATTGGCTTTTACCAAACCCTCGAATAACTGAAGTGTTGTATCATACCAAGGAAGATAATCCCAGTGACTAGCGATGAAGTTGAGATGAACGGTTTCTGCGATGCGTCAGAACAAGCATATGGCGCTTGCGTATATGTCCGCTCAAGAGATGCCAGTGGAAAATGGCACTCAAGACTACTGTGTGCTAAAACTCGGGTGGCACCGCTGAAAGGAGCCACAATTCCAAGACTGGAATTGAACGGTGCACTGCTGCTAGCCGAGCTAGTCAATAAGGTAGCTGAATCTTGGATGGTCAGTGTACACACCTTTCGCTTATGGACCGATTCTATGATAGTGTTGAGTTGGCTAAACAGTCAAGGAGTGCGCTTAAAAACCTTCGTGCTAAATCGTGTGTGTCAAATCCTGGAATTAACAGATATATCACAATGGCATCAAGTACGCACAGATAGAAACCCAGCGGACATAATATCACGAGGAATAACCTCGTCAGAGTTGATAGTAGCCGAGGAATGGTGGCAAGGACCTAAATGGATGTCAACCGAAGAAGAAAAATGGTCTCACCCCACGGCCCAATTAATTGAAGACGACCAAATACCAGAGCAACGACAGTTAAAAATTGCATTAGTTGCTTGTGACACTATCAACAACCTTTTTAACGCGTATTCTAATTGGAACACCCTAGTAAGGTCCGTTGCCTGGATCTTACGTTTCATAAAGTACAAGAAATCTAAGGTCATAGACAGTTTCAAATTTCTTTCCGTCCCAGAATTGAAGAACGCATCTTTATCAATAATAAAACGAGTTCATGAAGAAGCATTTCATGAAGATATCGTTAGGATCAACACTAATAAATAATTACGTCGTGGAAGCAAAATCCGCAACCTATCCCCATTTATGAAGGATGGATTGATCAGAGTTGGTGGTCGTTTGGAAAATTCCAATTTAACAGAGAATTAAAAACACCCAATAGTGATCCCAGCCAACAACAGAGTGACACGTTTAATATTCGAAGATCGATATCGAATGCTCTTGCATTGTGGACCACAATTATTACTAGCGGAAGTAAGACGAATTTACTGGCCGTTAAAGGGACGAATCTTGGCAAGATCAGTCACAACACGGTGTGTTCAATGTATCAAGGCCAAACCAACCTTTTTACAACCACTAATGGCGCCGCTACCCAAGGATCGTATTCAACGCGACCGTCCATTTTCCGTGTGTGGAGTAGATTTTGCAGGACCAATAATAATAAAGAGTGGAGTTCGTCGCGTAACTGGGTCAAAGGCGTGGATAGCGGTCTTTGTTTGCTTATCCATTAGAGCAATCCACTTGGAACCCGTAGAGGACCTCTCAAGCAGTGCCTTCGTGGCTTGTTTACGCCGCTTCATGGCGCGCAGAGGAAAGTTTAGCAAAATATACAGCGATAATGGCACTAATTTTGTTGGTGCACAGAAAGAACTCACAAGCTATGTGACGAGTATCGATGAAAAAATGGCGAATGAAGGTATTGAGTGGAAATTTAATCCACCAGCTGCTCTACACTTCGGAGGGCTGTGGGAAAGTGCTGTTAAGATTATAAAATTTCATTTAACACGTATGATGAAGGAAACACGTCTCACCTTGGGAGAACTTAATACACTATTATGTCAAGTGGAGGCATGTATAAATTCAAGACCGATAACACCACTCAGTAGTAATCCATCGGATTTGGAAGTGCTGACTCCAGCACATTTTCTAATCGGTGGATCTTTATTCCTAGCACCGGAAGTAGATCTGACTGAGAGATCTCCAAATGGATTACGCCGGTGGAAGTATGTACAGTATCTCATGCAGAGTTTTCCGAAGCGGTGGGAAAAGGAATAACTGCCTCAGCGTCAGGTTCGTGGGAAATGGATTACAAATATTAGACCCTTGGAAATCGATGATGTAGTGATAGTGAAAGGAGAAAGCACACATCCTACAAGATGGAAGCTAGGGAGAATAACCGATCTACACCCAGGGAAGGACAAGGTCATACGAGTCGCTACAGTGCGAACAGCAAATGGGACAGAAATGCGTAGGCCTACTGTCAAACTATGTCGCCTTCCTATACAAGAAGATGACATGACTGTTGAAAACCAATAATTTTCAACCGGGGGAGGATGTTGACGCCTATACTCCGCGTATCGTCAACAAAAATATTATTATAATAGCCAGCAATAGGTATCAGATAAGGCCTACTATCGCAGTGACAAAAACCAAATGCGCGAGGTATATTACATAACATATAAATTATAATATGATAATGAATACCGTACCTCACACGCACACACACACACATCAAATAATAGTCAGTACGTACAAAACGTCTCAACATACGCGTTGCCTCTTCCTGTGCGTCTTTTTATATACCTCCAAGTCGTATTAATTCCATTTTTTTGTTTAAATAGTGCTCTCTGCTTTATAGCGAGTAAAATATTATTATCGTCTGTGCGGAAAAATTAAAGGTCTTTTAAATTGTATAAATCGCAAGGCAACGAATAGTGTGCTCTGCCTAATAGCGAGCGAAGAAAATTATTATTTTTATTGTTATGTAACTAGCTAGGTACATTTTGTTAGATAATGCGCTCTGCATTATAGCGAGTAATGTAACATAGCGGTTCAAATAGTCAAATTATTATTATTATTCTATGTGATTTATATTTTAATTATTATTTAAATTGTTTATGTATTTGGTACTGTTGTATAAAATATTATTGTAACAGAAAGTACACTGGCCAGTCTACACTCCACAAATATCTGTGAGTACCAAAATTATTATTTTTATTGTTATTACAAAGCTGTAATTTAGCCATATTATTATTATAATTTATTAAATGGCAAGTTTACAATATATTTTATTGTGATTCATAAACTGTTGTACATCAGCCCATACTATAGTCTTGTTATAATTTATTGTTAAATTTTAAATCTATTGTACACCAGGCACACTATCAATTATTATTTTGTGTATATGCAAATCAATTGTAAATTAAACCACATTATTATTATAAAAAAAACTTATCTAGTATATTGAATTGTAATAAAACACAAAGAGTTCATTTACCAAGTCTTCCTATTTAGTTATTATACATTAATCAATAAGTAATTACGGGAAAAATACGAAAATCATCACATAACTGTTGACGATTAATTTTCATTAAACGAGCGATTTTTATAAGTTCGAAATCGTACAACGCTCTACTGGGTAACGTAGATATTAGTTTTTTTTAGCTTTGACACCCCCACCACTTTTAAATGGTGCAAGATACAAACCGGAACCGATTTTGTATGAGTTGCCTTTATACGGCGTTAGATATAAACCTTTACCCAAATGCAATGGTGTATTTCTATTAAATTCATTTGTCATTTTCACAACGTTGGCAACACCACCAGTTAAGGCTCCCAGAGCTGACAGACCGGCGAAAATCGGTATGAGTGGTAACAAGCCGCCTTTCTTCGCCTTTGTTCGTGGAACTTTTGTCTTATTAATTTTAAATGTTTTTCGTGCGACAGCTACACATTTTTTAGTTAATTTCATCAAGTTTTTTCACCGATATTTTTCTTTATAACGTTTTTACTACAAAGAATTATCGGCATCAATAACATTTTTAAGTTCTTGAAAGTCGTTTGTTTCTTCTGTTTTTGACATTTGACGTTTCTGCCTTGAATAAAATATCAAGACATAATGGGCATCTGTTTTATGTGTTGTGGTTTGTGCCGTATCAATTAAGAGCCACTTTTTGCAATAAACATATTATGCAGACTAATAAATCATAATTTTTGATTATTATCATCATCATATCATCATTATCAACATATATTCTGTAGAAGATTATGATAAAAACTAATCAGTTAAAAATAACAAAGAACTATCGGCATCAATAACATTTTTAAGTTCTTGAAAGTCGTTTGTTTCTTCTGTTTTTGACATTTGACGTTTCTGCCTTGAATACAGTTCAGCGGTCGTGCGATAAACACGTATGGTGAACTATCGGTGTCTTATCTGTTTACTTCCGTCACCGTTTGTTTTTCAGTCTCACTATGTCTGCAGCGTCAACTAAATCTAAAGAAAGCTCTCCAAACCTGCTTCACAACCTTAGGAGTAAATCAAATCAAAAACCAACCAATGGTACTACTGATATTATGCAATCTTTACAGTCGTTAAAATCATCTATAAAATCAATGAATACCAAACTTGAAGCTATCCAAACTTCAGTCTCGGAACAAAAAATTGAGTTTATTGAAATTAGGAAATATTTCGATGAAATATCTGGTACTGTTTCTACTTTGAAAACTAATTATGATATTATGAAAACGGAGGTATCGAATTTACGCCAACAAATCGATTTATTGACTAATAACAATACTGCCTTATCTTTCGAGGCGGTCCACGAAGCACAAGTCCGATTAAGAAAATCACGTAATGTTATAATTTTCAACGTTCCTGATAACAATGAGTCCATTGATGAAACTAATAAGTCTACCTCTAATATAATAAACTACATGGTTCCAAATGTACCTATCATCAAAACTACCCGGTTGGGTATCAACCGAAATAAGCCACGACCTATTTTAGTAGAGTTAGAAAACAATGATGCAGTATTGTCAATTTTGAAAGCAAAGTCAAAATTGCGACAATCTGACAACTGGAATCGCGTATGGATCACCACAGACCTAATGATGATGCAGAGAAACCAACTCACTCAAGTCAAGTTGCAACTACGAAATAAAATTGATGCTGGAGACCTAAGCTGGTACATCAAATTCGTTCACGGAAATCCAATCCTGTCTCAAAAAAACGCTCAACCCGCCCAAGCATAAATACACCTTACACGGGTAACCAAGATAATCTTATAAGTACTTATTTTAGTTTTAATAACAAACCATACAAATGTAAATCTCTTATAGGCTATTATCAAAATGTTAGAGGTCTTCGTTCTAAATTATGTTTACTTAGACGCAATATTCATACTATGTATTTCGATTATTTTATTTTGACCGAAACCTGGCTAAATAATAATATTAATGATTGTGAACTGGGCTTTGATAACTACTCTCTTTATAGATCCGATAGGAACTATGCAATCAGTTACTGTAATAAAGGCGGCGGTGTTGCGATATGCATTAGTAATACATTTTCGTCTAAAATTATAGATATACCTAATTCCACTATTGATCAATTGTTCGTTGCCATTACTATCGGTAAGGTTTTAATGTTTATAATTGGAACCTGTTATATCCCACCAAACAGTCATACCAGCTTGTATTCAATGCACACCCAAACAGTCGATTGGGTCTTATCTAAGTTTGGAAATAATATACAATACATTGTTGCCGGTGACTACAATTTACCGAAAACTGTAATTACCTGTGATAATACCGGACTCATTACTAACAGCATACTTACACCCCAGGCCAATGAAATTTTTGATATCTATACTAATAATAACTTTTTTCAAGTTAACACGCATTCAAATTTTAAGGGCTCAATGCTCGATCTCGTATTTACTTCCTCAAATTTAACAAAAATTAATATTTGTGATGAATTATTAGTTCCGTTAGATAAATACCACCCAGCACTTTCCATACATAGTAACTATGGTGATATTCGCGATTTTAACCATGTTGTTGATTCGAACCGGTATTATGATTTCAAGATAGCTGATTATACTTCAATATGCTGGTCATTAGGACTTATTAATTGGCATAACCTATTCGAAAATAAAAATATTAATGAAATAGTAAACATATTCTATGATACAATTTATAATTTAATTTCCAAATATGTACCAAAAAAGTATAATTTCCCACAATGGTTTAATAAAGATCTTAAAATGTATATTCATAAGAAAAAAGAACTCCATAATATATATAAATCAACTAATAATCAATCGGATTATAATAATTTTTCACAATGCCGAAAAATATGTAAGAATTTATCTAAATCTTGTTATTCAAATTATTTAACCAAAACTCAAAATTCGTTAATTAATAAGCCTAGGCCCTAGATACTTCTGGAAATATGTCAAAAACAAACAAGTGTCAAAACCAATACTAAACTCAATTACTTATAATAACCTCCACTCAGACGATATAAATGATATTCCTAATATCTTTAGCTCATATTTTGCTTCTGTATATTCAAAACATACACAATCAACACTTATTAATCTTGGTGATAATAGTAATAGTAATAATTGTAATATAAATGTATCTAATGTTGATTTCTCGTTAAGTGAAATATTTCAAGCTCTTACTCAAGTTGGTAATAACCCTTCTCCCGGTCCTGACTTAATTCCTGCTCTCTTTTTACAACGTTGTAGATATGCCTTATCAGTTCCTATATTTATTATCTTCCAATTGTCTATATCTTCAGGTATCTTCCCCGACAAGTGGAAACTAAGCTATGGAACACCAATTTTCAAATCTGGTGATAAAGGATCCGTCACAAATTATCGGCCAATCTCAATAATAAGTGTAATTCCAAAACTATTCGAAAAAATTATAAATAATAAACTAACAACCACTTTTAAGTCAACTCTATTATCTAATCAATACGGCTTCCGGTCACAACGATCAACTAGTACTAATTTATTAGTTTTTTATTCTGATTTAATATCCACAGTAGAGAGTGGCGGCCAACTAGATGTTATCTATACAGATCTTAAAAAAGCTTTTGATACTGTAGATATTAAAATATTATTATATAAACTTAAGAGGACGCCACACCGAAAGCAAAACGTATACAACGACCGAGAGAACGCGCTGTTAGGTGTTTTCGCGATCCGCAAGCACGCGACGCTTAAGCCGCGCCCACTACTCACAGTCGGCGGCTGGCCGACAATTTTGCTCATTCGGGAGCGATGTTCATTATTTTATCAACCTTCGTCTGTGGCGGATCGCGTAAATATAAAATGCATACACGTATATTATACCGCATTACCGCCGTAATATTTTTAATATTCGAGCGTACCTATACGCGGCTTATATTAATTATTGCATTATTAAATACTTCGTAAAGAATGTATTCAATACAGTAAATAATATTATCTAATATATAACTGTAACCTAAACTAGTATTACCTAAATATCTAAATATTATATTTTAGTAGGTTAATTAATTGAATATATATTATTTTATGTTATACTGTTACCACATAGGTATATTTTTTAAATTACATTTCTTGCGTATCTCTAACATTTCTAAAACATTTTTCACACATCAGTCACCTATTATTATTTATAAGGTTTTACCTTTCTACCTATCCTACAATAATTTGAAATCTACGATTTACTAATAAGTTATAACAAAGATATTATGAATTACGCGTGTGTTCGATAATATTATATTTATTAGTTTGTAATTAATAAATAAAACTCTTGTTTACTTTAATATGCATACCGATACCAATACAATAAAACAAAATTTTTTGAAAGGAAATAAATTGGTTATGGAAATATAATTAGATACAGTTCATAATTCAAGTAAAAACTAATAAAATTAGGTATTTCTTATTTTTTATTTATAAAACTTAATGTAGGTACCACAGTACTATTTATATTACTTGGCTTTCTCTCGTTCTCGTATATCACTTTTTAGCATTCTAGTTGGGTAAAGTGCTTGTACTATTTCCGATAGTAAACATTGTAAATAAAATCTAAAACAAATAACATTCAAAATATTTTATATTACAGTATTATAGTATAAGTCTTAATTGTAATCATTAATTATACATTTATACTTCACTTACGCTTTGAGTTATGAACCATTTTAGATTCCCAAAATGTAGAATTATAAAGAATAGTTTCGATGTTTAGTAGGTACTGTAGGTATTTATCAAGTTTATTAGGCTTTAATTATTTTATTTTTAATGTGATCTGGTTCACGAATATCACTGATTAATAACCGTTTACCATATTGAGGCATTACCAACTCTGGGAGTAAACATTCGGTGTAAAATCTAAAAAAAAAACCAATCGTAATTAATTATTAAGTTCCGTCTTATTAGAATTAGTTATTTATACTTACAGACTTAACTGTTTGACCATTTTAGTCGACCAAAATTCACTATCATACTTAATATTTATTGTATGATTCCAGTTTTCTGTGAATATAAAAAAATAACAGTTTGTTCTCCCTGTTATATGCAGTTGGCCTTGCACTTGGTAATAGTAGTCACAGTTTTTTTTTAATTCAATTGTTTTTGTATTTTTGTCAATAATACAATATTTGATCTAAAACAACATTTTTTTAACATAAATATAAAAAAATATTTTCGTATTTTTATCATTGTACAATATACAGTTATTATTGTAGATACAATAATAAATAGTTGTTATTAATAAAAATATATCCTACTTTTCCATTATTCATTGCATCTTCTAAACTTGTATTATCCTTAGCTGAAAAAGGACATTTTATCTCGATAATAAAATCATTTTCGATAAAACCATCTGAAAATTATTTAACAATATAATAATTGATATTATTACAATAAAAACCTAAACATTAAACATATTAAAGTTACAAAAAGCCTAAAGGTATATACTTGCTGCAGTTGAAATAGTGATATTTATTTTACCTGGACTAGCAGCCAAGTAAGGAACTTCAACATCTATGCAAAGTCCTACAGATTTTATTTTTAAATTAAACAGTTCTTCGAATTTAAGTTTTGCTACAGACTCCATGACTCTACCATATTCTATGGCTTTAATTTTATGGTTAGTCTGTCCATATAATAATTCATGCACCGTATTTTTACATGAGGTATTTTGACGCATTTTACATATTTTTCCGAACTTGGAAGCAGTCAATCGTTTTCTCCTTTCTGTGTACCAAAGTTGCGATTTTGCTTGGTCTCTCGTGTTTTTCTCCAATTGTTCTATTATTGCACATTATTTTAAACATATATACACATCTAAATTAAAATCTTTACATCGTAAAATACTAAAATGTATACTAGTTATACTACCTCTATCCATATTTTTAATTTCATTAATAAAATTAATTTTCATGTTTGTCAAATCCTCATAAGAACTTTCAGGGGGTAATTCTTCTGCTAGACCATAGTTTTCATCAGGACCCGATGTTTTAAGCTGCTTGTTACTGTATTTTTTTCTGATGAATAATGCTCGTCGTCTTTGGTTATTTAATTTTTGTCTTTTGGCATTTTTTAAAAAAGTCTTACCAAACATACCTGTTACAAATTAATAATACGAAATAAATCTATAGTCTTATAATATTTACTTTATTTATTTTAAAAATTATCTAGTAAACTATATATTATGCATTATATAATATCAGGTATGTATTTATTAAACAACTATATTACCTGGACTTTTTTTCATAATATTCTTATGTATAGTCCGTAAGTATTCTTTTGAATTAAATGCTATAACTGCAGCTTCAACCCTAGCATTATACGCGTTTCTTTGTGACATATTGATTCGTTTTCCCCCAATGTATTTATTTATCACGCTGTTGAACTGTTCGCATACATTATTGTCTACATCAGTTATTAAGCTACTAGAATTAGCGACTAAACGATTTATTGCATTTATTATTTCTAACATCATGCCACTGTTTTCAGCTTGTACAACTAAATTTTGTTCCAAAACTGTATTTCCTTGACAAAAATACGAAGCGCACTTTGTATGTTGTCCTAGTACATGGTATGGACTATTATAAATATCTTTGCCTAAGTCTGGAAAAAAAATGTTGGTTTTTATAATTAATTATTTGATATTATTCATTAGGTGTTGGAAAATGTATTGTATAGGTGCTCTATAATATAATATTCTATATAGATAATAGTATATAAGTATTAAGTACTAAGTAGAAATAACTAATAAGTCATATTAGTAGGTGTATATAATATATATAATATATAATATATAATATATAGGTCATATTAGTGGTAATACCTGATATTTGTTGACATAAAGGTTTATTTTCATTTTTTTGGAAACGAATAGCTTTTACTATTCCAGTTCGAAACCGCATTGCATTTTGAATTATAAATTTGCGTAAATTTATAGGATAGCAAGTTTTTTTTGCAATAGCTGCTATTTTTTGACTGTAGTTACGCAGTAGATGGTCGCGACACTCTATTTTTTCAATTAAAACATTAGGGCCATAAGGTAGTACTTCTAACAATCTTTTAGGAACACTACTATCCCCGTCACCTGGAATATAAATGCAATTTTAAACTAAAAACTGGGGAATTGAATTTAAAATATTAATAAAAAAAAATTGTGTGTTATAGGAAAAATACATAGAGATATTCTCTATACTATACTCTCTAGACTAATACCTAATATATACACAACTTTTAAATGTTACATACATATATCAGTAAATAATGGAAGTTTTACTGTATTTGATTATTTAAAATTTAAAACCATCAAACATTTTTAAGACTATATCTTGCACTCTATAAACTATAAAGAAAGCGCAATACGTACCAATCAGTTTATTAAATTTCAAATTCTGCATTTCGACGCTTTTCATAAACCCTTCAACAACACCATCTGCTTCCATACCTGTTGCAGATTTATTCCAATTCATAAAACAGCGGTGTTCAGAAGGTTTTTCGTTTTTAGAGGCCACACACGGTGACAAATGACGCAATACCTATTTCTTATACCTACGAACAATACTTTTTTGGTTCTATATCCAATGATGGAAGCCTTAATAAAAATATAAAAATTTAATACCTATATATTAGTTCTAATATTTAAAACTAAACATATGACAAAATGTATACGTACCACTCCAGATAGTGCATCATACTTTGTTTTGTAACTTCTTTTACACCATTGTCCGTCTGCTACTACTGTACACATTGGTATTCCATTTTCATAGACCTCTCCAGCTTCTAATGCCAATTCCCGTTCTTCTTCTCCAGCCTTTCGCATTTCATCCCAAGCCGTATTGTGGATACTATCACTTAAATTTCAGTGTACTTTTGAAAAAGTAGTATTCGCAATACAAGGTATTTCTAATGCAGCGACAAACTCAGACAACTGTCGGTAACCAATACCTATCAGTTATCACATAAAAAGACGTAAATATTAAATTAAATTATACACCATCATAATGCTATATAGGAATAATATGTTAAATATTAGAATGTATTTTAAATTAATAAAATAAAATATTATAAAAAAAATCGTACCAACTGATATTGTTCCATTTACTACGGCTTGATTTATCGACATATAAGAATTATTATTATTGTCTTCTGAACTAATAATTTGTTGAATATTGCACATTTTACACTGAAAAATATACTTTGAATAAAATCCATATCGTTTTTCCTCAATAAACTCCATGTCATTGAATGTGCAGTCAAATCCACCATTGTGTTTATTTTGTTGAAAGTGAAGCTTGACGGACTAATGATGTTAGTGTAACGTGCCCAACAGCGTTGCTTGTTGGTTTGGAAGCAATAATTGAACAAAACCTCTTTTGATAGTATTTATTGTGTTTATTATATAAAACAGTTTTATAGAAATTATTCTAAGTCCAAATAATTAACTAAAAGCGAGTTGTGACTATGAGTATTTAGTGTGACTGTTGAAGTTGAGGTTGGTTGCTCGTCCGATGGACGCTTGTCCATCAGCTCTCCTCGATGGATCTCTGTCCCTTGCCACTTCCATACTTTCTAAGACCATATATGGTCCTTCCATTATTCTAAAGCCATACATGGTCTTGCGGTTAAGCCTTTTGTGAATTTCACACGCTTGCACGCGCCGGAAGTCCACATATTATATCTATATAGCACATTTGTGGTGTTATTCAACAATAATTAATAAATAATTAATAACAGCACAAATCTAACTATATTATTTTAGGATTATCCATATACGTAGTCATATATCTATTGTCGCACGCCGCTCATGGTCACGCGCTCGATATTACTATTATTATATTATTACTATTCGAAGTACCGCTCGAGTATAATATTTATATGTACGTGGTGCGAATATTATATGATTACGTATTCATTATAATGTGTTTAAACCATATGGCAAAATAGTCACAGCTCGCTACATTAGCATTAATATAATAAGTAATAACACTACAATATGATTATGTATAAGTATAATATATAATAACGTACAACTGGACAATTAAACTGTGACAGTACACACACATCGTATACGCTCTGTACAACGACGCCTGTGCAAGTGAATATTACATACATCAAAGGCCCTATATATATGCACGACCGAGGTCATGTTACATCCGTAAAGAGAGTGAGTCTTATGCTCGTATATAACTAGTTACTAAATTGTACACACGTGTCAAGGCTGACTACATATACTACATATTAATTGTATATTTCAACACCCTCCCTCAATTAATAATCTCTTTAATTGTAGTCACTCCTATGCCTGACCGCAACTTCTCGAATCGTTCCTTAACCAAAGGCTTGGTTAGAATGTCCGCAATCTGGTCCTCTGTTCTAATGTACTGTAGTTGGAATTGTCCTTCTTCGTATTTCTCCCGTATGAAGTGGTACCGTACGTCTATATGTTTTGTCCGTTTATGAAACTCCGGATTTTTCACTAAACGAATAGCACCCTGATTATCTATAAATAAAACTGGTTGTTTGTCACCTGTTGTTGATAAGCTTGTTATCAACCGTGTAATCCACAAGATCCCTTTGACAGCTTCACTGGCCGAAATATATTCAGCCTCTGTCGATGACAATGACACACAATGTTGTCTCTGCGATGTCCATATTATTATGCTTAACCCGTACCTGAATAGAAATCCTGACGTCGAACGTCTTGTCTGAATGTCAAATGCGTAATCTGCATCGCTAAATATTTCTAATGAAAATTTTGTTTTGTTATTAAAGTACAAGCCATAATTAAATGTTCGCTTGATATATCGTATAATCCGTTTTACCAAGTTCCAATGAGTTTTGGTTGGTTTTGCTAAGTAACGACTAGCAAAGTTTACTGCATATGCTATATCTGGTCTTGTTACCTGTGATAAGAACAGTAAGCTACCTACTGCCTGCCTATAAGGAATATCTTCATTCAATATTTCCGTATCTTCTTTTTGTTCAAGTGTATGTGATTTATCTTTCGGTATTGAAAGTTCCTTGGCGTCCAGCATATTAAATTTATTAATTATGCTACATGCATAGTTTGTCTGATGCACAAATAATGAACCATTTTTCATTATATTTACCTGCATACCTAGGAAATAATCTAAGTTTCCTTTTTTAACCTCAAACTCTTTTTCTAAGTTTGTTAAAAGTTTATTTATTATTTCTTCATTGTCTGCAGCGATTAAACCATCGTCTACAAATATTGCCAGAATAATTCTACCATTATATGCATTGAATACACATGCATCCGCTTCGGTACATTGTAAACCAAATGCATTCAAAAAATTCTTAAAGCGTATATTCCAACATCTTGGACTTTGTTTTAAGCCATATAAACTACGCTGAAGCTTACATACTTTATTCGATCCATCTTCGTATCCTGGTGGTTGTACCATGTAAATTTCTTCCTGTAGTTCTCCGTACAGAAATGCAGTCTTGATGTCGAATTGTCGTAGTATTAATTTTTCCAGAGCTGCTACTGCGAATATCGCCCTAATTGATTCGTATCTGACCACTGGCGAAAATGTTTCATGGTAATCTATACCATATTTCTGTGAACAACCTTTAATGACCAATCTGTCCTTAAACTTATCGATATCACCGTCAATTTTATATTTGGTTTTGAAAACCCATGCGTTACGTAACGCAACCTTGCCCTGAGGCAAATTAACTAGTGACCAAGTGTTGTTTCTGTGTAGTGATTTAATTTCATCACTCATAGCGTGCTCCCACTCGTTTTTCTGTGGGCCAGCTATCGCTTCATCACGATTTAGTGGTTCAACGAGATTGGAGACGAACGACAACACATTATACCTGATCGGCGCTTTTAATGTATTCCGATCACGTAGCACCATGCCACTCCTGTTGTCGACCGTCGTCAATTCGACCTCGACCGGATCGTCCTCGACTTGAGTCTGAGTATCTGTGAATTCTAATTTGTCTGCAATTATATTTTCCAATTTATTACCTTCGTTTTCGAATATAATATCTCTAGACACTGAAATATTATTTGTTTTAGAATACTACACACGATAACCTTTCGTGTTATCCGAATAGCCAACAAATATTCCTTTTTCACATTTAGGGTCCCACTTTTTACGTTTTTGTTTTGGTATGTATGTATATACGACAGTACCAAAAACTCGTAAGTGTTTAATGTCTGGCATTACCTTGTAATATAACTCGTATGGTGAGTTATTTTTAACTGAACTGGTTCCTGTTCGATTAAGCGTGTAAACAGCCGTGTTTACCGCCTCCGCCCACAGTGATACATCCAAATTTTTCGCACAAATCATTGTCCTCGCTGACTCTACTATTGTACGATTTTCCCGTTCCACTTTTCCATTTTGCTGTGGTGTGTAGGGAACTGTTAACTGATGTCGAATCCCGTGTTTTTGTAAAATACCCGTAATTTCTTTATTCACGAATTCTAATCCATTATCCGTTCGTAATATTTTGACCTTAGAACCTGTTTCTGTTTCAACACTTTTTATGAACGTCTCAAAAATATTTTTAACATCATATTTATTTTTAATAAAATATACCGTTCTATAATGTGAGTAGTCGTCTTTGAATAACAAGAAGTATTTTGAACCGCCTATAGAGCTTACCTCCATTGGTCCACATAAGTCTGCATGAATTAAATCACCGACATTGTGGTGATACTCCGTATTACTTTTACTAAATGATTTACGACTTTGTTTACTTATTATACAACTGCTGCACATGAATTCGTCGTCCTTGGCCGTACATACTATTTCGTGTTTCGCCAAACAACTTTTTACGTACTGTAAATTCTGATGTGCCATGCGCTCGTGCCAAACAGACAACCTGTTTTCGACAGCTACAGTCGCGTACCCGTTTGTCGGTACTTCGACCTTGATGTTT